ATGCTTAACTCCTGCCAAACTTTATGGGCTAGTTACATCCTGCCACAGAAGGGGAGGGAGATGGTAGTGTGAGTAGGAGAAAGAGAGAGAATCACAGAATCAGAGAGTCTTAGAGTTGGAGAGACAGTAACTCTGGTTTATTTGTTTGTTTGTTTTTTCTATTCCATAAAGACTCTGGCAAGAAGCTTCCCCCCTCCATATACTCCTTCCTTTACCCTCCCTGCAGAGGAGAATGAGAGGAAGAATGGTCTAAAAGATTATCAAGCTGCCTCACTCACTTTCTCTCCTCCCACACACCTCAAAGTTCTTTTTTCCTTCACCCAGGGACCACAGGGACAGATGCCAAAGCAGTATGTCTCTTCTTTCTTGGGTGGTGAGTCACTTCAAAGAGGGGTCTAATAAAGCCCATGAGTTTTCATCCATTTCAGCTAGGCTGCCCCCCCATAACCTTCTTCCACCTTCACATACTCCAGCCCCAAAGGAGTACAGACCAAGGTTATGACAGTCCTGCTGTGAACCCATTTCCAAAGTGAGAATTTTGTCCTTGTCCCACTCCCAAGAATATGCTCAAACCCCTCCCTAAATGAAAGAGGAAATATTCCAAGGCTGCCCATAACCAGGATCTCTAGTGTGAACGCCTGTACTTCAGTCTCAGGAATTGGGCCCCCTCTTCCTTTCCTCCCCCTCAATAATTCCATCAGGAACAGGATAGGGGGTGGGGAAGAAAGAACCAAACAAACAGCTGCATCCCACTCCTACCCTATCTGATCAAAGGCTCCAATTTGTTAACTTAACCTAGAAAGCCCCCGAGGTATTATACCAGAGAGTTCCTCCACCCAAACAGAGCCTCTATGTTGGGTTTGTTGTTTTGTTTTGTTTTGTTTTGTTTTCCTTTTCAGTGGGCAGGCAATGTAAAGGGGAAATAAGGACAGATGTGCTCAGAACGGAAATACTGCACAACACTAACTTGGCTCTGTGTAGAGTCAGATTATAGGCCCAACACCTCCAATTCTGTCCAAGTGGAAAAAGAAACTACAGGGTGCAACCTTTCTCCAGCTGTGTGAACTCTGCTGCCCAGGGACTGTGCCAACCAAAGAGGATTAGCACAGCACTGGATTGCTATCCTCAGTCCTCAGCTGCCCTAGATTTTTTGTTATTCTCTTGTTTTTTAGTTCTTTTGGTAAACTGATTCCATCCATGGCCCAGTCTTCATTGTTATTGTAATAGTTGCAACAAGGTCTCATGATTACTTTAAAACTTGTTTTCTTGGTGTGAAATTATTCGGTATTAGCATGAAAATTAAAGAAAAGCCCTCTCCAGCAGCTGAACTGTAGCCAAAATGTTCGTATTAATGCTGATGTAAGAGTTCTATAAGCTGTTTAAGAAGTGATAGACCTAAGAGCCTTCATTTTAGTCTGAATATCATGTTTCCCCTCTTTAAAAAATAAAGGGTAATTTTTCAATATCACCTTGAGAGGGCACATAACAATCACACAATAAGGTCAAGTTACAAATCTCAAAATGCATGTTCAGTAAAATATCACTAATTCAGACTAATAAGCATAAAGGCTAACCTGCATTAAATTATGTAGAATGAAAAACAATCTTATTGCTTTCCACTGAATCCAGTAGGATGTAGGATTGACAGCATGGTATTGTGGAAAAGTGCCAGATTTGAAGTCTGAGGATGTAGGTTCGAATCATGTGACCTTGGCAAGACTTAGTCTCTTAGCCTAGGTTTCCCCATCTATAGAACTCAAGAATTGGGCCAGATGATCTTTAAGGCCATTCCTATGTCTAAGAATCCTACCTGGATCAAAGTTAACAAAAATGTACCAACTTAGTTGAAGTTCTTGGGGAGCTATCGGAAGAAATTGATGGCAAGTATTTGTCATTAAAATACCAATTGTAAATATGTAAATGTTTGCTGTCAAAGTACATACACAGGAAAACTATATGTCTGTACTTTTAACTCCCTAATGATTTTGCTTATACCATTCATTTGTTTAACATACTCCTTCTGTCAAATGAAGGTAAACTTCTAGAATTCCAAATTGTAAAGGGGTCAGATTAATGTGATACTAGCATAGCTCGTTTCACTTTACACTCTCCATCCCACAACTGGAAGAAGACAAATCAAAAGAGAGAAGAAATGGTATGAGGAGCTTACATAGAAATTTAGCATGTCAGAACTCCTATGGAATAGGCCTCACATATTCCTGTTCCCTTAAAAACAGAGGCAATGTGATTTGTATAATAATTATTACATATATTAGGTGAGGACTTGACAATCAGACCTGCTCAAAAAGGAACAAAATGGAGTAGTTTCTTCTTTAGTAAGAGTATAGAAATTTAACCACTGTGGAAAGCAAATACTTTATTGACATAAACTTGTTCTCCTTCCCTACCAGTAGAATTGTCTAAGTTCTCCCAGACCAGTCAAGTTAGCAAGCATTTATTAGGAGTCTACTGTGTGGCAGGCAGTCTACTAAACACTGGGCATACAAAGAAAGACCCTCCCTCCCCCACTCCAAAAAAAGTCCCTGATCTCAAGAAGCTCACATTGTAGGCGCGCAATGTATAGAGTGCTGGACATGGAGTCAGGAAGACTGGAGTTCAAATCCAGCCTCAGACACTTCCTAGCTGTATGATCATGGCAAACCATTTAACCTCTGTCTGCCTCAGTTTCCTCATCTGTAAAATTAAAATAATAATAGCACCTTCCTCCCAGGGTTGTTGTGGGGATAAAATAGGATAATATTTATAAAGTGTTATATAAATGTTATCTATTATTATTTTATTCTAATAGAATAATATTAATAAAGAGCTATATAAATGCTAGCTATTATTATTATTTTATTCTGATAGGAAAGACAATGTACAAACGATTATGTACAAACAAAATATAGACAGGATAAATTGGAGATGATCTCACAGGGAAGGAGCTAGCATTAAGGCGGACCAAGAAAGGCTTTTTGTAATAGGTGATACTTTACCTTAGATTTGAAGAAAGTCAGGGATGCTGTATGGCATAGACAGGGAGGGACAGAATTCCAGGCATGAGGGACAGCCAGTGAAAATGCACATTCAGGAGATGAAGCGTCTTCATCATTTTAGAAAGAAAACCAGGGTCATAGAAGCATAGAAAGCATGGAGGGGAGTAAGGTATAAGAAGACTAGAAAAGTAGGAAGGGACTAGGTTAAAAAAAGGCCTTAAAAGCCAGAGGATTTTATATTTGATCCTTGAGATAATAGAAAGTCATTGGAGTTTATTGGATAGGGGAATGACATGGTCAGACTTGTGCTTCATAGAGATCAGTTTGACAGCTTAGTGGAGCATGTACTGAAGAGAGAAGAGGCAAGGTGGCCAACTAGCAGGCTATTGCAATTGCAATAGTCCAGGAATGAAGTGGTAAGACCCTGCACAATGGTGGTGGCAATGACAGAAGAGAGAAGGGAGGCTATACAAGAGATGTTTCAAGTTAGAATAAACAGGACTTGGTCAGTGATTGGATAAATGGATAATAATTTGACTAAACAGAAATGGAAACGTACGCACTTTAGTTGCATGTAATGGTTCCTGGACTTCAGTTGAGCAGATGAAGCTACAAAGAATTCAAGCGTTTCCATTTCAATGAGGCCTCAGAACCACAGTGCTGATTTCCCATAAGCAACAACACCAGTAGAATACTGCAGCGTCAAGGGCACAGGGCCAAAAGCTGAGTAACTTTCACCTCCCAACAACAGCCTCAAATCATCCTGGGATATGCTGCCTGAAATCTCTAACAAAAGCAATACACAAAACTGGATTTAAATGTCTCTGGACCTCAGTTTACATGGATACAAATGAGTAGTCCTTCCTAATTCATCTCCAAAAGTTACCTATGAGGCTATGCTATCATGATAACTACTCACAAAACTCTAACCTTCTTAGAGCTAGTTCCCAATTCATTTTGAATCTCTGATAAACAACCCATACATAATATGCATGGATCCAAATTTCATCAATGCTCCAAATTATGAAATAAATCTTGAGTGATATCATTCCTATCATCAGCATACAGAAAAGGGAAAAAAAAGTGTTTAAATGGAGTCTGGCATTGGAGGAAGGCTACTAAAGCATTCCTCTTGTGCACAAGACACAAAGCACACCTACCAAGAAGAAAAACAAGGAAGATCCACTTTCAAGAAGCACATGCTGAAAAGCCAAGTGTTGCTCTAAGAGGTCACAAGCCTAAATTACCTTGGCATATAAGCCCTGGGAAGGCTAACAGGGTTCCAGTTAGCTAACCCTTATAGCTACACAAGGATAAGCACCATCTCCACTGTACACCTACCTTTCCCTTCACCCTAGAGCCCCTTAAGCCTACTCACATAAGAAGACCTTAAAGAAGGCTTTAAAGTTAAAGACCTGAATGCCTCCATTTCCGAACATGCCCATTCAGGGTCAAACACTGCAGGCTTTCAGCAATGGGTGACTCTACAACAATCTTCATTAAAAGTATAGGGAAAAGAATTTAAGGATGAAGAGGGAGAAAAAAAGACATTGGGTTACTATGAATTAAGCCTATTACCTAGAGTTGTCAGAAATCCCAGATGGACATCAAACCAAATGAAGCACCTTTTCATTTTGCCCCATAGTTATTTATTTCCCTAGTATCTGGGTATGTGATGGTTTCATTCTGCCACAGTCACATTAAAACCAATAATCGATCTCTACCTGTAACACTTTCTGCACCCCCATTCAGTTAAATCTTGTTCTTCAAAGTGTAGCAACCCTAATGTTGACTCATGTGAATCAGGGAAAGGCCATCCTAATTCAAATAAGGATGCCAGCATTTAAAAAAATGATAATGTGAAAGATAAGGGTCCCTTTATGATATGGCATGGTTTTTGTCATAACAGAGGCTAATCTGGACAGAAAACACAACAAGATCAGACATAAAAAGTCTAAGTACAACATAATATAACTCACATTGGCAACCATTTTCTTTTCCTACCTGAGGAGCACTTATCCACCATTCTGACTGTCTTGTGATCATGCTTCAGTGGCCATCCAGTAAAATGGGATTTAGTCATTACCTATGCATTTAAAAGAGAAGGGCAAACATGTCATACTATGCAAAACACAGCATCACAAGCATCAAAAAGGCTTTTAACAATCTGAAACAAAACAACCAATCTCAGCAAAGACTGAGAGATCCAATAGTTATTAGCAGAACCTTTGGGCTATTTCTCTACTGCATTGTACTCATTTGATCAATTACTATTTTTTCAGTAGTTTTGATTTCCAAACAGACTTTGGATATACTGATGACATGAGGATGACATCATCCTTGGACAGGAGACTCACAGGAAAAACAATATTCAACAGCAGAAAACAGCAATGCATTTTCCAGACATACCCTGGAATGATAGCCATTATGCTGTATCAAAATAAAAGTCACTCCTGGCTTCTATTCTTTTGCCTACAAGAACTTTTATTGCAGTTCACATCAAGAGCAAAAAAAAAAAAAAAAAAAAAAGGTTTCCAGTTCTCACAGGAAAAGAAAGAATGACTTTCAAATTATGTATTTTTTGAGAAAATGACTTATTAATACTAAATATGAAACACATGTTTCTCTCAGAAGTTGTTTTCTCTTCCAGTGGGAAAAAGTTCCATATTTGACAGCTATGCCTTTTCTCATGAAAAGGCAAATAATTAATATTGGCTCACTTTGTGCCAGGCCTATTTATTATACTTTAACTAATGAAGATCACAAAGGCAAAACTTATTGTCTCACTTAGAAAACAGACACATCAGCTAAGAGTTAGTTGGGCTGACCCAACAATAAGAGATATTTACCTATGAAGATCCACTGGGGCTTGGGGGTAATGGGAGATTTCAACCCACCTGAAGCCATATTTTCTTTCCAGGTATCATTTTCTTCCCATTTCAACTCTGAATCACCGCATATCTCTCTAGTGTTTGACACTTGGACTGTTAAAAAGAGAAAAAGGTGTTTAGGGGGGTGTGTGTGTGTGTGTGTGTGTGTGTGTGTGTGTGTGTGTGTGTGTGTGTGTGTGTGTGTGTGTGTAAAAGTGAGTAGAAGGGGAGACCTTCAAGGGCATAGGATGTTTTCTAGGACATAGAAAAGATACTGCTATTCACTGATATGCCCAAAGGCCCATGTGTATAGAGAACACCACACATCTTAGAGTAAATTCAACCTTTATCCATCATTCCTTCCCTGGTTTTTTCCTAATATATGTCACAGAATTGTCTTGGGGGAAGGTGTGAGATACAATTTCTCAGGAGGTCCTATCCAATTTCCTAGCAATCTGTAACACATGAAAGAGCACTCTGCATTCTGTCACTGTGATACAGTTCCTTCTCACAGATACCACAACTGTCAGTCTCACCCTAAATAAACAAACAGAGTGAGCTAAGCACAGGTCCCCATGCTATTCATGCAGAGGATGTGACTGTAATGGCAGTGTCTGGTGATTGCACTCAATTAGCCCTTATTGTTAACAAAAGCTATAGGCAGTGGAGATAACCCCCTTTTCCTACCTGTTGCTTTCATAACAGTCTGTTTATTACTAACACTGTTTATGTATGCTTTAAAGAAAGAATTAGGGTCATCATAGCCTTCCAAAATCTAGGTAACTGAAAGTAATTCTATTGTTGTTTTTGCATTGTTTTTAAAAAATCTTGATTTCTGGGAAACTAATTCTGTCAGGAATCTTATATACCTTGGCAGTCTTGTTTTGTTTTGTTTTTCTTTTTCTTTGTCTGGACGTCTCATTATATCTGTATGGGGAACTTTCTCTGTGAAAAAACTTCATTTGCCAATACATATCAATAAGTATTCTGCCTAGAGTTACACTGATGATAAGTGCCAGTGGCAGGACCTGAACTCGTCTTCTTGACTCTAATTTCAGTACTATATCCATCACTTCACCTAGCTTGCCTTTGACTTGTGGATCAAAGACAAGACTTGAATGCAGGTTATCTTGACTCCAAGACCAGCTTTCTATACAGTACAATGTACAACTTTAAAATAGTTAACCACTGCTAGTGAATTAAGTGACAATTTTTAATTAATTCCTTCTCTTAAAAGAAACAGCATTGTCAATACTTGCTACTTGGAGGTCAAGAAGACCTTAGTTCAAGTCTCACTTCTGACATATGATAGATGAAGCAACTAAACTCCATGGGTGGAATAAGTCTCCACACCAAGAGTTCCTCTACTGATAAAATAACAAGAAGAAAAAATAAAGGTCAAATAATGAAATTCTATGTTCAATTGTATTAATCCTAGCAAAAGCACAATCCCTGAAGAGTAGGAGTTCAATAAATATCTGATGATCTGAATTTGAAAGTATTTGATTCCAAAATCCTATAACTTAACTCTGAAAAGAGTGACCAGTGAGGAATCAGGAAATAGACTTTTATTCTCACTCACACCTCAAATTAACTGGATGAGATCTTGGATAATTAAGCCACTTAGACTTGGGTTTCAGTTCCCTTATCAACTAAAAAAAAAAATATTACCTGTTCTCCTTATCTTGGCTTTTTAACAAAAGTTATCTTATATAAAGGCAATATATTATTAATTCAAGATATGTCTAAATTGAATTTCAATAAGATCATCTCCTATTGGTTTATACTGAGAACAAAAAGCTGGTAGATCTTCCTTTTTTTAACTTTTAAATAGTAGCGACAGTTATTCCCTTAGACGTGTGCACCTTGCAACCCTCAAACATTTAAAATGCACTGGCAAGCTCCTACTTTTAAAAAAAAGCGATCTGGATTTATGATTTTACCAATAATAAGAGTTTCTTGATCAATCTAATGAGCGCCCTAATCAGTTTGCTTGGCTTACAAAGTCTGAGTCTTTGAAGTCAGGAAAACACATCCTTGTGAAAAGTGTGGGCATGCACATTTGGTGCCTTGTTAAGAGGACAGCAATTGGCTCCTGACTGGGTTTCATAGACTGGGGCTTCCCCAAGATAATTGGCTAAGATTCTGGGGAGGATTGACATGAGTTAGAGAAGCCATCCTCTCTCCAAGGCCCTATGAAAATAAGGTAACAGAACTATTCAACCACTTCAGACCTCTTGATTCACTTTTCCTCTGTTCAGGGGACAGAAAAGGGCAAATCAGAACATGCCTATGTTCTACGTGCAGGGGAAGGCTGTGCTTGAACACTGTCTTATTATCCCCATTAAGTCAAATCAGTAAACCTGTGCCAGGCACTATGCTAGGGATGCAAAGAAAAGCAAAAAATATTACACTCCAAGGAAAACTAATGGCTGCCTTGGAGGAGGAAGATATGAGAATTAAAACATGTTTACCCACAGCTCTCTGAGCACAGATTTGAGACCAGAAATCTGAGAATGGACTTCCCAAACCTAAGAAATGACAGCAGCTGGGGCAATAAGAACATAACTGTAGAAGCCAACTTGCTTGCTTACTAGGCCCAAGACAGGCACTCATGGATAATGTTCCTAAATCTCAGCCTCTGGTGTAAAGCGGAGATTTTGATTTCTTTGGCAGTGTGATCCCCAAATCTAACCATGTCACAAAAGAAGGGAGATTTTTTGGGCAGTTCCTGCCTTGTGGAGCTGCTTTCTAGATAATTCCAACATGCAGAGTCAGGGACTTCTAGCCAGGGAATTGGGGTTTCCTCAGTAATATGATCCTGGAATCTAGCTTCCTGACTTGGTGAGAGAGAGTTCTTGGGTAAGGAGTTTTCAGAGGAGCATCCCATTTGGAGAAGAAGATGATTGACCACATGGCCCTTGTGCTGTAGCCAGAGGAGCGGTAAGGAGTAGTTACATTATCGGCAAGCAAGTGACTGAGACCTTACCACTACCACCACCAATCTGTCTGTCTGTCTGTCTCTCTCTCTGTCTCTCTGTCTCTCTCTCTCTCTCTCTCTCACACACACACACACACACACACACTTCAAAACAAATTGTTCAAATAGCACAGATCCAATGGGAAGGGGGTAACCCACCCATCCAGCAGCTCCAGAGTTCATTTGCTTCCCAAGGGAAGTTCAAATCACATGAGCACTATGAGTCTGAGAGGATGTGCATTGGACCCTTTGGGAGAATTAGAGATATGCCAAAATACTGACCATAATTCCAAATTCAATTCTTGCTAAGAAAAAAAATGCAGCGTGCTTCATTTTGATTTTGATTTCTTCATCTGAGCTAGGGGCAGTCCTTGCTGTCTTCTGTATTTTCAGATAGAGTGAAACAGGCTATCTTAACACAATACCCATTGGTTACCTTGAGCAACTACCTGTGGAAATCTAGGCAGGAGCTAAACCTAAGCTATATTTAGAGATTTTGCAGGAGTAAACTCTGGTGGAGGCAATAAACCAAAGAAAAAGATTGGACCTGGCCCATGCGAGCTGAGCAGATTGTGGGGCCCAAATAATCTTTTTGCAAAGTGAGAGTACTGGATGTGGAGTCAAAGGACCTGGGTTTGAATCACAATCTAACATTTAATGCCAGTTTCACCTTGGGCAAGTCATTTTGCCTCTCTTGGCCTCAGTTTCCTAATTTGTAAAATGATGATGTGGAATGGATGATCTCTAAGCTCTTTTCCTGCTCTACAATCTATGAATAATCAACTCTTGTCACCTAGTGAGACTTAATAAATGCTTTATCTATCTATGTATCTAATATTTAATGGAGCTATTTTGTGACTTCAGATTTTTATATTTGTGTTTTTAATTCATTCAATAATTATGAAATGCCTGTAGTGAGGTCAGCACTATGATGTATATTTAAAAAAAATTGGTAAAGTGATTTTTTGCCTTCAAAGTTCTAGTCTACTTGAGTTGTTTTTAAAAGCAGGCACACCATAGTTGATGTCTTACTAATTTAATTTGTGTCCATGGTTTTCCTTTTCAGAGAGAAGGAGGAATTTACTTTCTTTTTTATACAAAAAAAAAACCAAACTCCCAAACTAAATAGCTAAATTCTTACATGACCAGAGATAGACAGAAGAAGGTTAAAAGCCTAACAAAGTGAGAAAACCAATAAAACAAATAAACGAACAAACAAACAAACAAACCCAGGAGACTTCATTAGTTATTGACTGATATCTTGTACACTCAACCACAAGAATGGGTTAAAAGGCTTCCTCCCACTCCTTCCCCCCTGTACGCCTCCAGAAGAAATTATAGACCAACACAACCACTCTGATACTATCTGCTACTTTTATAAGACAGCTATAATTTGTCCACTTTTTTACTTACCCTTTCTAACTCTTTTTAATTTTCATTTTACTTACATTAGTTCCAAAAGGATCAGCATTACAAAGTCATTTGGAGTGAATATATAGAGGTGAGCAAACATGCCCAGACACTCACATATCAATTTGTTAGGTTTGTGGTTATTCAAATCCTAGTATGAGACATTTAATAACAATAGATTAGAATTAATTTACATATGCAAAACTCAATCTCTGGTTACTCTTCTAGAGGCAAAGAAAATCTAAGAGCTGAGTAGTTATTTAGTGAATTTCCCTAGTGTGTACTACCACCTTCTTTGGGCCTATACTATACATTAACCAAGAATCCCTATCAAGTTCCCTAAATATAACAATAAGAATGTTCATTCCCAAATGGGCACAAATAGTCCAGAAGGGCAGATAGAGAAAGGAGCCCTTGAAAAGTTTTGCTTTGGGGGCCTGAAATAAACCCCAGCTTAGGGAATCAAAGGACACACTTTGGGTGAATATGATTAAAACTGGCTCTCCACATTGCCAAAATTTTCAGACAACTTTTAATCATAAAAGGTATCATACATTTTTATGGTGCCTTTCAAAATCTTTTTTCTCATATTGTCCCATTTGAGTCTCACAACAATTTAGCAAGGTAGGTATTCAGGTCAATGTCAAGAAATCTTACAGATCATATAATTCAGTCTTCTTATTTTATAGGCCAGAAAATTTGTTCAAGGTCACAAAGTCACAAA